GGTGGGCCCCCCCAGCTCCCCCGCGTGGCCCCGGGTTCCTCGGCAGGGGCTGCAGAGCCTGGCACTCCCCCTCCCCACAGCGGCCATCTCCGCCTGGGATGGTAGATAATGCAGGCAGGAGGAAGCACAGAAATTGGTCCGGGAGGGCTGTGGGGTGTCTCTAAACACGCCAGAAGCCCGGCGAGGGTGTGTGTGTGTATGTTTAACTAACAGCACCAACATGGCACCCCCTTTCCAAGCCCCTTTCCTGCTGCTCTTCCTCGCTCAGCCCTGCCTCCCTGCTCGTCTGAGTTATGGGGTAGCCCCGGCCCCTGAAGGTGGGGATGCCTCGGGGGGAATAATGCCTCCCAAAACCCAAAAGCATGACATTTCCATGGAGAAGGGTGGGGAAGGAGCTTTATTTGCTGTGAGCTCACCCCATGGATTCATGCTGAAGAGGGTTGTCTCAGTCAGGGTGCACCAGGAGTGTGCCTGAGGACACCCCCTTGTCCAGTGGGAGTGGGGAGGAAGGTCCCACAGGAGCCGCACATCTCCTCCACAAGCGAGGCGGGTGGGTTTCGGATGAGTGGGGTGGAGGGGAAGGAAAAACAAAGCCCTGGTGCTGCTGCTTCTTGGTGGGACAGGGTTAGACGTGGCTGCCCCCCCGCCAGTTGTTGTAGTATACAGCCAGCAGCACGATGACGATGATGCTACACACGATGCCCAGGGAGACCGCTGCGATGTTCAGATGCTTGGCCGTCTTCCCGTAGGTGCTGGCAGCTGCCGGGTCCTGGGCGATTTTCTTATCTCTGGCCTGCGGATTGGGAGAGGGAGACGGGTAGTGGAACGGCACGAGACAGGCGTCGGCGGTGGTGGCGCTGGGCTGAGGGGACATCCCTGTCTCCCTCGCCATTGAGCAGCTGGCCTCACCGAAGCCTGGCACCGGGATCCACCGGGCTCTGCCGCAACCCCAAGAAACCCAGGCTGACGCAGCTCGTGGCAGCCTGAAAGTGCTTTCTTAATGGCTTATTAAGAGCCATTACGCTTGGCAATGCGCTGCACAGTCCTCTTGGGGGGCCAGGGCAGCAGCGCAGGAGGGGGAGAGCCGGGCAGAAGAGGGGGGTCAGGTCGGAAGCGCCCACACGGCAGTTCCCACGGTGCCGGCAGACGCTGACATGCACCTCTCTATGGTCACCAGGGCGCCGTTTAAAAATTATTCGCTTTCAAGGTAATAAAAGAAAAGCGCGCGGGGACCAGCTGTTTATCTCCGGTAGGGTCGAAGCCTCGCGGTGGTTTCGGGAGGGCCACAGGAGGGAGCCGGGAGCCGGCTGGCCACCTTATACCCCCGGTGGGAGACAGTTTGGGGCTTGCCGGAGTCCGCGGGAGGAGAGCCAGACCTGCCGCGCTGCCCAGGTCCCCCTTTCCCAAAGCACCGAAGGAGGACGGGCGGCCCTCGGACGGTGGCTTTGCCGGGGACGTTGGGTGCGGAGCGGCGTGGTGGGGCTGGAAGTGGCAGGAGGGAGGGGGAGGGTG